TACTTGCCTTTGTTTTGGTTTTCAAATATTGACAGATTAAATCTGAAGTTCGAGAACCTTTGTTGTCGACACAATGAATGCAGAAAAAAAAAGCCTGAAGCTAAGAAAAACAAACACAATCGCTGAAGGTTGTTGACTAACTTCTCAGAGCTTTCAACATGGAGCCACACTGCACAAAAACAATATAGAACAGTGACCAGAATTACACACGATGTGTGGTATATTCAAGCTATTAGTTGTACATGCGATGTTCAAAACAAAACCACGAACAGTCATTTGAGCATTGCATCTACTGTGAAGAGTTTAGTTGACTTTGTACCAAACCGCAACATTAGCAGTTGCTATTTACCAAATGCTTGACACTCATTAGGCTAAGTTTGTGCATTGCTGTATTGTTGCGAGAAGCTTTTTAAATATAGAGGTCACATGTCAAAGAGATGACACTCATGCAAGCAAGCAAGGACAGGGCACGTGAAACAGTTGTATTTAGAAAAACAAGTGTAACATGCACTCAATGCAGATGTGGCTGCACATTCCATGCATAATACGCACAACTGACTGGTGGTCGTAAGCAAGCTGCCAGGCAGCCAAGCCAGTGCAAAAGCTTCTCCATAGCTTTGGCAACTGCACCTTTTTCTCACTTTGTGCATCCGCAACAGCTGCTGCCACATACTTATTTTTCAGGCAGAGCTTCTATAGATTGACCCGTAAAGCTGCTGTTCCAAAAAACTCTTCTCATCTATAGCTGACGTGCATCACATAAATAATAAATAAAACAAAAGTTTTCTTTCTGGGATTGGGGTTTGACTCTGAGAACTCCCAAAATGAACGCAAGTGCCTTGGCCACTAGGCCATGTGGCCATGCTTGCGCAGTGTCAACTAAACTGAAGCACACAAATGTATTCCATTGATGATGCGAAAGAAATTGGGAAGTAGTTCACATGCTACGGGTGCTTCATTGAAACATGATATGTTGGCAGACTAAAAACAATCTGCTGAACAATGCGCAAGGTTAATAACGCGATTTGTGTATTTACGAAAAGTTTTGACTTTGGGAAAATTGAATTCCTAATCCATGTTTCGATGATCGCGTAACGGTTCTTTCCTTGAGCTATTTTACTGGCGGATGAACGCTAGAAAGAACATGAAAGACTCTATGTTGATTCAGCTCGAAAACAGCGCTCCAAGGACAGCCGTTACCTATAATAAACCCGAACTCTTACGTTTGGAGGAAGTGTTGTAAGATGTGAAAGAAAGGCAGGGCTGGCCGACGGAAAGCTATGCTTGCCCCCGTTTCCCCGGGAAGGGCTTTTAAATTTTTATCCATCTGCTCCTCCTCCGTTCCCCTGATTTCCTCCTACTGCGGTTCACCCTCATTGTCCTTTCCATGGAGGTTGGCGTGCCTTAGCTGTGGAGGGCACTCACTACCTCTTTTGTTGGCTGGAGGTTCTCAGCAGCCTTGTTTTAACCAGTTGTGATGGTTGCGGACATTCGTCACGTGGTTTGCCTCTAATGAACGAGAAAGGATTTGCAAGAACACGTTGGAGATAAAGAAGAGAATTTTGTGAAGCATGCTAGTGAAGAAAAGATAGAACTGCGATAAGCGAAAAATATCTACATTCACGGGACTAATTGGCAAGCATGCGCAGCGGAAGTCCTATCTGTTCAGAGTGTGACTTCGCTATTGCACGACCCTGTCGAGCACGTAGAGTTCAAGAATATTAAGGTTGAAATAAAAAAAATTGCCCCCATCTCCCCGAAGAAAGTTGGGAGAAAGTACACGACGTAGTAAATTTAATGGCGTAAATTAATTGTGAGAGGGGGATTTCTACCGAGACCAATTTTTATGCAGTCATCAGCCAGGGAACGGTCGAGAGTGAGGAGCGCGCTTCACTTCATTTATATATACGTACGGGCGAGCGGATGGGAGAGTGGGGTGCAGGGAGGAGAGAGAGCAAACAGCGAGAGGAGAGGTGGAGCACTACAATTACCCTCTCCTACACTGCGTCCACACACGCGGTAGCTCCACCGAGCTTCCAAGATGCAAGCGCCCTCACACGCCAGAGCACGCTCCTTTTTTCCACTCACTCTCCGCTACTCTGCCTGCACTACCTGCTCCTGTTGCTAGGGGCCAGCAGGATAAATGTGCGTGCCCACAGCTGTTGCTATGGGAGAGGGACTGAGGGCAGAAAGAGAACACCTGCTGGCGTGTGGATGCCGCCGGACGCCTGACATAGCGTGACTAAGAAATGCACAAAGACATCACAGTATATTCATGGAGTGAATGATAATGTGTGGGGCGAAGCATCAGTCTGTCTGTTCATTAGTCTGTCTGTCTCTTTGCCTGTCAGTCTGTCCGTACGTCTGTCCGTCCGTCTGTCTGTAACACGTGCCGGCGCGTGAAGGGAGGAGGAGGAATAAATGAGGAAGGACTGGGAGGTTAGCCAGTTCTCAGACCGGTGGCGCGTGAAAGCTGCCGAATGCCCGACTTGCCCGACTAAGAAATGCATTCGCAATAAAAAAACACCTCACGGTTCGGAACACTGTCCTACCGTCATGTGCCCGTCGTTGTGCGGAAGGGCAGAACTGGTACGTAGGGTGCAGCCGGCACGGTTATCAAGACATGGATGTGCTACTGTGTCCGGCACAATTGAGTAACACTCAGGAGTCGACTCAGCACGGTGGGTCGCAACTCCTGAGAACCATGGTCAGCCAACGGCCCATGAAAATAGCATCAGGCACGCCCCATCCACGAACCCGCTTCCGGCCACTGCTCCCAAGCAGGAGCTGCGCCGCAGGTCATGTCCTTGAACCTTGAAGTAGGTCACCAGGCTAAACTTTGGACAGACACAGCCTGGTCCCATGCCTATCTCAAAAATGCTGGCCGACGCTCGTCGTCTCCAAAGGTTCTCCAGAAGCCTTTGTAACTTCTTTTTCCTCCCTTCGCGAGCCTTTCTTCCACACGTCTCGAAGCTCGTTGCTTCTTCTTCTGCACCCTGCTCCACCTGCCCTCTGCTCTTCAGTTTCTATTTCCACTTGCCGCTTTAGTTCCTTTATGCTTGCGCATCACCCTTGAAACATCATGTGTCCTTTCATCACACCAGTCTTTCATCTCGATGAGCTGCACGATGTACGTGAAGTTTTATGCGAGGGTGAAGAAGAGTCGAAAAGAACGACATTATAGCCGGTCCTATACTACACGTGGTTATGTTATAAGAGGTCTGTACCTGATTATTCAAATGCGTGGCTTATTCGGCTGCTGACCCGCAGGTCGCGGGATCGAATCTTGGCTGTTGCGGCTGCATTTCCGATGGAGCCAGAAATGTTGTAGGCCCGTGTGCTCAGATTTGAGTGCATGTTAAAGAAGTCCAGGTGGTCAAAATTTCCAGAGCCCTCCACTACAGTGTCTCTCATAATCATATGGTGGTTTCGAGACGTTAAACCCACATATCAATCATCAATCAATCGTCAAATACACGGCTTATACCATAAGTATGTTAGTTTTTGTTCTTGTATCAACCGTGTAACTTCATACACTAATTGTTGTGATTCATGTTCGATAGTACGTAAGAGACTGACCCAGAATATCTATTGAGGGAGACGTGTTACAGAACAAATTACACTTTATGAAGGAGGAGGGAAGCATACATATTTAATAGAAGCACCATTCCTTTCCGCAGTAATAGGTAGGTGTGAAATAACTGCACTATGATAACAATTACATTTATGTATGTGGGCTATATTTGCACAAAATAGATGTAACATGATTGCTTTACCATTAACAGTAATCATCTTTCTCACATTTTACTACGGCGGTGTTAAAGAAACTTTTAAGAAGCTTGTTTCACAAAAATTTCAGTGTCTGTGTTGTCGGTTGTGAGTGAAAAAGTTTCCAAAAATAACTGGAAGTAATAAAAATTATGGTTCCAAGGCTAAATGGAACCTATTTCATCTGCGCGACAAGCAGGTGTTCTGCCACACCACTGCTTAAAACTGTTCTAGAGAAAAAAACCTATACAGGTGTTATATAGTTCAAGGAGTCGCATTAACACCTGCAATATGAGTGGAAGGAGGGGTGAATCACATCAGACGTCACATCATGGTAATTGCACAATAAGTGATTGATATAGAAGCCCACCAATTATAAAGCATTGAGGCATAATAAATCATTATCATCAGCAACAACAACATAACAACAAAGCATGCATTAGAGGCTCATGTGCTGATATTTTCATAAACAATGAAGAATCCCAGGTGATTGAAATTGTTTGAGCCTTCTACTATGTATCTGTCATAATCACATGATTAATTAGGGATACGAACCCTGAACAATTAATATTGTTAACAAAGCATGCAGCTGCATGGGTCTGTGCATTGCCTTACGAACAGAACACATAGGGAGGTGTTTAGCCGATTCTCGTAATTAGGAATAAAGTTATAGTAAGCAGTTTGCTACTTTACTTGCAATAGGCATTCTATGTTAGTTTAAGATGGCCAGTTTTACATGTGCAGGTGTCTCTTTACTGCACAGTTGAGGTAGCCACCAAGAAGCGAAGCCTGCCTAGTGAATGAAAAGGCAATGCAAATGGGGTGCGATTACACTACTGTGTTCTACTCTTGAAAGCAAAGCTCAAGGGTCCTCCAAGTTTTTGCGGTTTAGGTTCTCTGACAGATTGTTTTAGTCAATGACCCTCTTCTTACTGCAGCATATGACTTGCTGTGGACAATGTCCCAGGCCAGCGTTTGCATGACTGTTCTAGGAGTTAAAAGAGCACTTGGTTTTTGTGCTCTCCAGCTCCTGTTGAGTGTTGAATCATACCAATCGCTCAGTGTTACTCAGCGAACTCGGTTTTCTGGGATCTAATATCCAGTGCTACTGAAGTCTAGATCAAACATGCTAATTGTCATTTTTCATTAGTATCATTACTTCTATATCCCCATGTACATTTCTTATAAAATTTTAATTCCTTTTTCCTTTTTAATATTGTTTTCTATTGCAGCCTTGCAGTCAGTGCATAGCAGGTGTGGTCGAATGCCTGCAGATGGCACCATGCTGCAGTGGGCTGCGGGAGTTGCAGACACGGGCTGTACAATGGGCAGGGCGTCACTACATTCGTGTCTGGCCTCACCGGGCTTTTGCTTCTGTTCCCGAGCACTGGCAGCAGCAGTGCTATGCAGCCACACTACAAGCACTGGTAGGTTCTTCAAAGTTGGAGAATCGGGGTGTGGACGTTAGTGAACAACCACCTTGCATTGCTCTGAATAAATGAAATAATGCAAATATACACCTGCGGCTATTATATACCTACATGCGTGGTGATGTCTAGTCATTACAGGCAGTGAAAAGCAAAGAAAATTTTGAATTTAGAGCTCAAAACAACACAGACTTAGCACCATAGTAATGTTGCTCAATTTTGACTACCTTGGGTCCCTAAAGTGCAGCTAAATGCAAGTTTTATGCTCATTGGAGGGAAGTCGCACCAGCCAGAAATATTAATTGGAGCCTTATTAGCAACACCACAATGACTTATTCATCAAGCCACCACAGCAATGTGGTACGAGCAGTCCTTGAGGCATTGCAGTGCCATCTATAAAAGGCTACTTGTGCCAACGTTATGGCGCATTGGGTATGCTACCACTCTCTGCTTCATTTTTTACCGGTAGCAGTGTTTTAAATGACACGTTGAAAACTGTCATATGCATGTTTCGTAAGTTACTAGTTAAGTGCATCAAGAGTGGATTTCAAGTTGGGCTGTTCATCAAAGCCTCTTAGTTGTGCTACTTGTTTACTGTGTAGGAGAGAGGCTGCATATACATACACAAATGCTGATAAATTTAGGCAGGGGTAGCCAGTCACCTGCATTGCTCTGTCATCAGAGCATTGCATGTGATAAAAAGAGTGTCTTTATTCTGGACTTCCGGAATATTCTTTTCTTATTTTTAAATGTATGGAGATGTATCCTAATTCTCACAAAAGGGAACCTCTTCACAAATGACTCAAAAGCATCATTTAGGAATTATTGACTTCTCCTGGTAATGCTGTGACATATCACATGAAGAATTAAATTTGGTCAAGACTTCTGTGTGCTTCTGTAATCCTGTATGGAGGCAAGGTGAATATCTTTACACGTATCGGCTTTTTAATGGAGCACACACCAGGCCACTTAGCAATTCAAGTCAGACACTGAAAGCTGTTGTGTGCCCAACAAAGAGCGTTGTACCCCTAGAATTTTTCAAATTGGCCCACTGCAAGCTGACATAACCAAGTTTTTGAAGTGGCATGAAATTGTGACGCAAGAAGGTCAGCTTGAAGCACTTGCCTCTCACTCTGTCTAGCGTTTGCTAGCCTAGTTCCTTCCCTGCCCTATCCGATATCGAAGCCGGAGGATCACATGATGCACACGCATGTGCACTCCATGTGCACACCATGTCTCACGTGCATGATGTTTGTGAGCATGCAAGTGGTGTTGTGTTGTTTTATCATTTTCTTAGGTGTACTATTTGCTTCTGTGGTATCAAACCATCAGTGCACACACGTTTATAGAAAGTGGCTCAAATCGTGGATCCTTAGCATTACACTTTGCATTTCAGAAAGTTTTTTGCCGGTCGATCCGTTTCGCTCACATCGCTATTTTGGTGACATCATCAAAACGTCACGACTGCCACGGCATTTTTTATGTTTTTCCCCATCCGCAATCCGTTTTAAGTTGAGACAAGCCAATGCAAGCTAAAACTGTGAACATTATGGCTGAAGAGATGGCATGAAGAGCATTTGTCTGAAAAAGCTTCGGATGTGAGCATTCGTTCATTCATGGAACAAACGAACATCGGCGAAAAAACTTGTTCTCTGTCGGATTCGACGTAATCGAGGTTTTTGCATGCTCAGAGGTGCTTGCAACTTGTTTCACATCGATATTCTGTGCACACAAACATGTGGCAGTCATTTCGATTGAAAAGTGGTTTGTGCTTCTTGTTAGATAGCCTGCCAGTGCCGTAATGCCTTCTGTTAAGACTTCTTATTCGGAACGTTCACCGTTGGCAAACGACTGTATCTGTAGCTTCCAGTTTGTATGGACTAGCGCGTACTATTACATGCTGCTTATGCAAGTAAAATATGCTGTGTTTCATAGTAAAATGGTCCAAAAGTGGTACTATGCTGTTCATCTGCTTGCCTGTCATTAAATAGGGCAACAAGCGGCAACTGTAGACATGTTATCGCGTCGGTACTGCAAAACATTCGCACGTCTTCACTTAGTTTGGCTTGGAAACCCTGTGCGCTGTTTTTTCAAACTCCCATCTTAATAAGCAAACTGGCCTGTGTCTTGTCACTGTGTAAGTACTTGTTTTCGTTGTTATCTCCTTGGTCCTTTTTGCCATTTCACAGTATGAGAGTGCGCATTGTTTGAATCTCAAAGACAGAACGAGACAGTTCTCTGTGTACGTCTTCCTTAGTCATCTTCCCATATTCTCATTAAACGGAACCTAAAGGGACTAATAAAATGCATTCCATTTAACAGGAGTTTCTTTTACTGAGAGACGAACAGGGGCACACATTGCAAAAATGAAATCAATCTTGTCAGAAGGAGTTGTTCTATTTTAAGGCGGCTTTGGAATCGCTAAAAATGGCAAAACATCGATTTTTAAAAAAATTAAGTTTTCAGTTTCTGGAACCCTTTTTCTAGCTGATTCCAAAATATCTACACTGAAAACTGTGCAGAAGTGCTTTGGAAAATTCTTTTAACCTACCTAGGTCGCGAAACTTTTTCTAGAAATGGCGAGAAAAGAGCTATTTTCAAAAAATTACAGCTTCACGATGAGAGGGCCAAGAGCCGGTTTCTTGGCCTCATCGGAAAGAGCATTTCTCCGTGTTTAACTTTCCTGCCTGAGCTGGCTCCTCCCTTTAAAAATCAAGCACACGAAAAGCAAATGTTTGAAGGTTGTTTCGAGGCCTTTGATTGTCTGTGGCCGCCATGTTTTGTCAGATCCCCTCGCCATTGGCCCGATGCTTGCTCCGGGAGATCATCGTCTGTGCTTGTGCGTCGCGAAGAGATGCCTCACGCGAATCGCTACTTCGTGACGTGTTCACGGCTTGATGATCACTTAAGATATAATTACGCTTTAGTTAGGAGCAGTAAGCGGATGCGCGATCAGGTTACTACGACCGGGCGTGCGGTCTACTAGTGCGGCGCGTCATCTGAGTCGTCTTTAGCCCTAACTCTGCCAACAGCGAGACTGCAAGCAGGAACAACGCGCTAGCGCATTCTTGGCGACGTGCTTCTTCGCAAGAAATGAAGCACATCACCGCTAGCTCCTCTGAACCACGTACAAGCATTTTACGCCTCGGCAGTGGACCACACAGTCAAGCTCATCACCCACCCCTTCCTCCCCTTCACTGCCAAGGATTGCTCGGAACAGCGGCTAGCGGTTTCGCGCGTCGTCACTTGAAAATGCGATGCCAAGCACAATGCGCGCTGCTTTTTTGTCATGGTAGTTACACATTTCGCACATCGTCACCTAACGCCGCTGGCAAGTGCATTACGCGCCGGCTACACTGTCCACGTGGTCGTGCACTCCACGGTCATATGGAGTGCTGTCAATGAGCTTTTGTAATGCAATTTAGAGGTGCTTGGAGCCATGCTTGATATCGCCACGAACATCTATGAATGTTCTGAGCCAATGAAAGCCTCGTATATTAGAGTTTTCGTGACCGGCTGTATGATGATGCATTTCACGGTTGGAGTGGCAAGAGAGCATGTATGAATCGGGCACGAATTTTTATATGCCCGTTTTGCGTCGTTAATTATACTGCTAAAAATTCGTGTGCCACCAGTCGTCTGCCCATAACTTTTTTATTTGGAAAGAAGGAATAGGCCGTCATAGTGTGATTCATTTTTCTGACGCAATAAACCTCTCTCCAAGTAAAGAAATATGCAGTGATTATTTGTAATCAAGTACCTAATTACACTAATTACTACTTCAGCACAAGAAATATGTGTAATCATTTCTGTATAATGTCACGTGCTACAAAAGGTCTTCAACAAAGAAGAACTCAGCCGGTGGGGAGACGCACCGAAAACTGGCAACATGGCTGCTTCAATAATCAACAACTAGCCACAGCACGCGCTGCCCCAGAACATCTTCTACCATTTTTCGCGGGCAGCCTTGGCTTGCGCTCGCCGTAACTAGCAGCCAAGTGGCATTATTTCCCCTCCGAGAAAAAAAACAAGGCATCACTTTGATGCTCGGAAAGTACAAAGGCAAAGTCGGGGCGAACCAACAGAAAATATGCGCATACACAAAAACAGTGATATGTTACATGCGCAGTCGCACTACTGCGTGAAGTACGGCTTCAGGCTCACCACGTGGACAATCTCTCAGGAGTGCCTTCGCCGTCGTGGCGAGAAGGCGCCGTCAGTGACTACCTCGTAGTTCACATCGCTCACACGTCGCAAGACTTTGTATCTTCCGAAGTAGCGAATGAGCAGTTTTTCTGCCAATCCCTGGCCTCGGACTAGAGTCCACAGCCAAGCTTGATCGCCTGGATGGTATTCAACTTGTCGATGGCGAGCGTTGTAGCGGCATGCGTGGTTACTCTGCTAGTGCGTAATGTGTAGGCGTGCTAACTGGCATGCTTCTTCGGCGTACTGGGTAAGCTGCACAGCATCAGGAGTGATCAAAGCATCGCAATTGTGTGGAAGCATTGCATCCAGCATGGTCTGGACCTCATGTCCATAAACAAGACGGAAAGGCGTGAATTGCGTAGTTTCCTGGACGGCAGTATTGTATGCGAATGTGACGTACGGTAGCACCTGGTCCCAGGTCTTATGCTGGACTTCTACGTACATAGATAACATGTTAGCGATGGTCTTCTTAAGTCGCTCTGTCAAGCCGTTGCTCTGCGGATATGCCCTGGTCTTGTGATGGCTCGTGTAGCTGAGCTTGAATACGTCATGAATGAGCTGGGCCGTGAATGCTGTTCCTCTGTCTGTGATTACGCACGACGGGGCGCCATGTCGAAGAACGATCTGGTCCATAAAGAATTGGGCGACGCCGGAAGCCGTAGCGCGTTGTAGTGCCTTTAATTCGGCCTACTTCGTCAAATAGTCGGTGGCTATTGCGATTCACTTGTTGCCGGCAGATGATAGCAGAAAGGGCCCCAGTAAATCCATTCCTATTTGATCAAATGGCGCTCTGG